GAAACCAGCCCCACGTCTTCTGGTCCAGGGTGTCCATGCTGCTTTATTCTGTTGTTTTTTCTTTTAAATATATAAATAATAGAAAATAAGGGATGAAAACTTCAGTGAAAGACAAATACATAATAATTTGAAAATTAAATAATTATAATAAATAAATAAAAATATGAAAGTAAATACATTAGAAAGGTTCATCATATATAAAGCTATTGCTAAGAGACAGAGTGAAGCTGAAAACTTCTAATAACGAATAAAAAATTCCCACATAATAAAAAACTGACTTGACATCAGCAGTTATGACATCACAGCGTTGCATCGTCAGACCAGAAAGTGAAAATAAGGCTGACCAGCTGTCAGTCAAACTCCAGAGAAAAAAGAAAGAGGTGAGACATGACCTTCATAATAAAATCCTAACGTTTCTAACATCAAGCTGGAAAGTTTTCCACCGCTCTGCAGTTCATGAGATCTTTAAACACTTTTATTCTGACACAGAGACACTGAGTTTCACATCTGTGTGGCAAAAACCTGGATCTTTACTGTTGTGTCAATAAAGAGATAAAGTGCAATGCTTTTATTTTGTAGAAGTGAGCGTGTGACTTCCTGTGAGGTTTAGAAAATGAAAGTGAAGGGACTTCCACTGCAGAAATGAGAGAATATTCCCACAAAGTGAATGAATGAAGATGTTTGATTCACTCATTCACCCACATCTGTATTTTAACGAGTAACTGAGTACATTTACTGCAGTACTGTACACAGAGGAGGTACTTTTACCTCCATGTTGTACTTGTACTGCTCCACATCTGTCATCACATCTTCACAGCTTTTATACAATATGAAGCATCAAGTCAATCTAACATGATACGACCACAGTGTGCTTTTACTTTGAAGGCTCAAACACACTTTACTGAGCGACTTCTCAACTTTATATAAACTAGTGACAGAGAGTGGCTCCTCCCACACAACAGGTGAACTGGTGACTCTGAAGTGCCCAGGTGTGAATGTATGTGTGTGTGTGTGTGTGTGTGTGTGTGTGTGTGTGTGTGTGTGTGTGTGTGTCTCTGTGTGTGTGAAAGGGAGAGTAGAAACAGTGGGACTGTGGGACTTTTTCTCTCTCTTTCTCTTTCCTGTCCTGTTAGAATAAAAGTCCTGAACTCAGATCAGCAGCATGTTGGAGACACTGACACTCAGCGCAGCTCACATCTTCATCTTCATCACCTTCATCATGATCAGCTGGACAGCCTCCTCGATCCTCTCTGCAGGCGCTGAGTATGCTGCACTTCTGCTGTGATTGGCTCAGACACTACGGGTCACAGACTCACGCACATCTCTCTGACCCTCGACCGCTCAATGGTGAGTACAGCTCTGACTCAGGCTCCTGCGAGGAGGTTTTACTGTATGATAGTCCCTGTGAGGTCCTGAGGAGTGAAATGATCTGAAGGCATCAACCAGACTGGTAGTGTGTTTACATATCTGATCATCATTTAACCATCAAAAATTTTAACGCTTAAATCAATAAGAGCACATGACTCATAAGGCGAGAACTGATCATTATCAGACCAATGTGATGCATGTTAGGTGAATCAGAATCAAATAGAACATGACACTGATCAACAGATGTGAATGATTGAAGGTTTTGTTCCTTCTCAGATGTGGTCAAACAGCTGAAGATGCATTCTAATATGTTTCCAGGCGGTCCAGGCTGACTGAACAGGAGCAGTCCAGTTTCCTTTCCATACAAATTCTACAAACCACATACGCAAACTCTTGGAGGTAATCAATCAATCTATCATCTACTATTCTTAATCTATCTACGCTCTAGCTCTATCTATCTATCTATCTATTATCTATATCTTATCTATCTAATCTAATCTACTTTATCTATCTTCTATCTAGTCTATCTTCTTTCAACGGTTTTAAAACTTGCAACGATTTCTACACTTTTCCATTGTTTTCAGATTCGTTCGTTGGTTGTTTTATTCGTTTGTTATTTATTTACATGTATACATCCGACGACGCTCAGCCGAGACCCACTTTTAAACAACCATGTAAACAAACCCAGATGTTGTCTGGTTAATGTTGTGTGACATCAGCATTCTTCAGCCATTCAGAAGAGCTCCTGTAAGTCACTCCTTGTCTCATCTCTCCAGGTGAAAGGTCCAAGGTGGTTTCATCACAAAAGAGACAGTTCTGGTCCAGACTTCGTCGACCATTTATCGCATGACAACCTCTCTCCGTTTTCCTGGGGATATCGACCAATACTTAATAGATTTCCGGATGAGCCATCGACAGAACAGATAGACGGCCTGAAACCTGTCGTGAGTGAACTAGACACTTCAGCTTCCTTTTCAAGCAATTTTAAATTTCAGCTTGACCACTGAAGCAACCATGCTGGCTGTCACTTCAGACGCTTCAAGCTCCTTTTCATCCTTTACGCACTTCATAAACCTGAATTCTTCTCACTGGCTAGCTCTCAGTGCTAACTAAGTTCTCTCACTTCAATTCCTTTTACTGTCTAGCTAGCTTTGTTCCACCAACACCAGAAAATCAATTGCTACTTGTGCTTTTCATAGGTGTCGACTGAGCAGAGAGCCGACAACCCTATCTGAGGACAATACTACAGGAGACTGGGAGGAAAGTCTCTGGACGCAACTGTGCAGTACAAGTCATCGTATAGACTACTGCAGTGGTATGGCTGCATACGTACTGCGACTGTAGTACTGTGTGTGCTGACTGAGATGACTGAGCTACTGGTTGACCTGATATGATGTAACTGTGTGTATGACTGAGCTGATGAGTACTATGTGTGGCTTGACTGAGTGACTGTAGTATGTGTTGCTGACTGGAGTACTAGACTGTAGTAGCGTCGTGTGTACTGCATCATAGGAGTACTGACGTGTAGTACTGAGTGTGTTATGCACCGGAGGACTGACTGTAGGTACTGTGTGTGTACTCGACTGGAGTTAAACTGGAGCTGGTAGTACTAGTGTGATGCTGGACTGGGGAGTACTGACTGTAGTACTGGTGTGGTCAAGCTGACTGGAGTACTGACTGTAGTACTGTGTGTGCTGACTCTAGTACTGATTGTAGTATTGTGTGTACTGACTGTAGTACTTTGTGTACAGGGGGCGGGGCCTGCGTCCTGGGAGCTGATCAGGAAGGAGACTCAGCTGCACCTGGATCAGTTGGACCTGCTGGTGAACTCCATCAGATCTTCAGCTGCTGCCAGCAGGAGGCGCTCTACACCAAGTCAACACCAAGACTGACACAATGCCTCTCATCAACTGTTTCTGTCTATTTATTGATTTATCAGGTTTATATTTATTGATTTATCAGGTTTATATTTATTGATTTATCAGGTTTATATTTATTTATTTATTTATTTGTATTTATTTATTGAAATGTGACGTTTGTCTGAATTTGACTTGAACAACAATAAAGACGTTTCCTCGCTGTTCAGAGTTTGACCTTTAAACTGATGTCAGACAGGAAACAGCTGATCTCACTGTTGCACCAGAGACACCTGGATATTAACATTCAACAGAGAAGTGATTATGTACGTAGTCTTTGACCTTATATTCCAGTTATATATAATATACTGTGTGGGCCAGTGCTTTTCCCTCATATCTCCATAAAATGGTCAGACTACACCTGCTTCTCTATTTTATAAACTTAAAATATATGAACTACTTTTGATATAAATATTTTCATCTATAGAGTGACATCACAGAACAAGAATCTACCAGAAAGTTTTCAACAATTTTCTGTAATAATTCCTTCAAACTTTCCTCCTCAACGAGACGGTCGCATCATCGGCCTCTCTTTATTCCACCAGTAGGGGGTGCTGTTCAATTAGATATAGAGGTGTAACACAGCAGAACATCAAGGTACAACTGGTCACACCTCACCCTTACTTCCTGTTTTCAAAATAACATCTCTTCCTGCCGACGGACCTGGTACCGGGTCGGGCAGAACGGTTGCAATTCATAATTGCCTGTAAAATTTGATAGAACACTGTGGTGGTCTCTTTTTTTTAAACGACGAGGCTTTAATGCCGCCAAAACAGTCCAAGTGTGTTTAGTACCAAGAATATTTGTTAGGCAACAATTTCAATATTTCTGTTTCAAAATAAGATCCCTATCCAAGACATAACGCAGGGCCGATTCACTTTTACTGTACTCTGAACTTTGTATATTGTATATTATATATTTATACAAGTTTTATGTTTTACAATGTCTAAGAAGTAGAATCAACATGATTCAGCAATTTAGAGGAAGAGATTCAGAGCACAAAACTATATCATTTACGTGGTTTTTAGACACAATGGTAGAATCTGATGATGCACGGGGTGAATTAAGCGGCTGAGGGTCGTATTTGCCTCCTGTAGTGGAAATCGTCAGTATTTTGTTGCCAGATTTCCATTCAAGAGGTAAAAACTCCTTTGGCACTTTGGGCACCTTGGTTATCCAAGTGTCCACTGGAGAGTCTGCCTCGCACCATCCCGACTCAAACCTTTGTAGAGTTCCTGCTTTGTGGTATTTCACCTACACTGTTACAGGTGTAGTCATGAAGCTGCTGAATGAAATCAGGGGCGTCCCAGTGGGACCTTTGTTATCATGGTGTTATCCTCGGCCTAATTGGAAATAAATTCTAGGCGAGGAAAAAAATAGGGACAGACGAGTCACAATCACAAAAAAATTAAACAATTAAACAATTTACTCAGCTATAGTCACAGTCACAATGTTACTGATACATGGAATCAATTCTCTGAGGTCTTACCCATCCACAGTGACCAAGCTTTTACAAATGGACCTGATGGTTAAATAAAGCATCAAGAAGCTTCTGGTTCATGTATTTTTCGTTTTCTTTGTGTCTCTGTTTACACTGTGTTAATGTAGTTGATGCTGTTGTTTATCTTGTTGACGCTGGGCGGGAGCAGGTGTGTGGAAGGCGGGACTTTCTCAGGAGACGAGGGGAACAGAGGGAAATAAAGAAGAACTGAATCATTTTTCATAATAACGAGTTGAGCTTTAATTATATCACAAATTCATTGATTGATCCGACAGTTTATCAATATGATTATTGATCAGGTCTTTTATTTATTAAACATTGAGTTCTTTGGTTCCACAGTCAGACCAGGTTCTACGTTGTGTTTGGTGTTCACTGACTGCTGCTGTTTCTCAGATGAAACATGATTTAAGTCAAAAGGAAAATGTTTCGTCAAAATTTCGCAGCTTCGACTCAGAGAAACACAGAACAGTAAAATCCTAGTTAGCATGTAGCCTGACAGCGTTCATACAGAAAGGTGACAGGAAGTGAGATTATGGAATAAAAGAAGATTTATCAAATGACCTAAACTGGTCTTCCTGTCTCTGGGAGAACTGGGATTAATGGAGGAGACAGAGATGAATGAATCGGCCGGTTTTAGTTGTTGCACACCTGCACCTTGAGGACAGCTCGGTAACTGTCGGACATGGTGGCTCTGACGGTCACGTGACTCCCTCTGTGGCTCAGACTGGGCCCTTTGGCTTTGCCCCTGACGAACCCTCTCTCTGTGTTGTAGTACATGGTTTCGTAGAGATGCTGGTCGCAGTGAGTGTCCAGGCCGAACACGCCCACAGCGAACCAGCTGGAGTACAGGTTGAAGTCATAGGGGACGGAGAACATGACGGCCACTCTGCCCCTGTACTGCTGCGTGGACTCGCTCAGGAGGTCGTAGGTGAACACCCCCACCGACCCGCAGGCCGCGTGAGGACTCTTGACGAACAGAGCGCCTCCGGACTCGGACGGGCCGAGGGTGGGCGGGAACGGTGCGTCACATGATCCGCTGACAGTGTGCACACTGAAACAAGACACAGGTGAGATCAGACACCTGCAGGCAGAGACAGACAGAACCAGGTGTTTCACACCTGTCAGGTCACTGATGCTGATATTTTCATATTTCTATATGTTTATGATTTCTGATTATTGTATAAGCGGCCTTATGTATTTTGAAAGGAAAGTTATTATTATTAATATTATGTTTTGTTTTTCATATTTTTATGATTTTATTTTCTTTTTATATTTTATATTTTTATGCTGATGGGGAAGTAAAGTCCGAGCTCTCCAGCGGTGGTTCTGTTGCCCAGGTAACAACACAGGAAGTCCACTGACTTCCTCCACTTCCACTATCCCACTCCCCCACCATGCGTTCCTGGGGGGGGGGGGGTTCTGATACTCACTGAGGGTTACACAGGGTGAACATCGAGCTCTTATTCTGAAGCTCAATACTGCACTGACGGGTTGGACTGTTCCTGCTGCTCATGATGTCATCAACCTGTACACAGACACATCTTCATCATCGTCTTCGTCATCGTTATCATCATCGTGAGATAGATAGATAGATAGATAGATAGATAGATAGATAAATAGCTGCTTCCACTGGTTTACATACTGGAAACAACATTGACTGTTCATCCGGACCGCTCCAAATATTTTCCTCATCTACACACAGAAGGATACATATGTATATATATGATATACTGTACATCAATAATATAAACATGTACGGTCCATATTTAAATCATACAGACTTACAGCCGTGATGAGACTAGGTCCTACAGTTCAGTCCAGTCCAGTTCAGACCAGCTCGGGGTGCAGCTGCAGACTGAAGCAGCTTCTCGTCTCTCTGACAGGGCGAGACGTCCGGGACAGGAAACAGGAAACAGGAAACATCTGCGGCGGAAACAAGAACAAAAACATGATGAAAACATGATTTTAGAAAAACAAAAGCTGGAGAGAGTGAATCACTGAGAACAAGTCAGAGCTTTAATTATGATTAACCAATTATCAATAAATAATTAATTATCCCTCATGAACTTATCACAACTCTTATTAAAGAGAGAAGACGGGGGGTGGGGCTGACTGAGTAACAGCATACACTTACACCTGTCCTTCAGGTTATCAGAAACACCAGAGGAAAGATAATAGATGAGCCTTTCAGTCTGTCCAATCACAGAGCAGAGAGGACAGTGATGTCACTCAGGTAGAGAAGGTAGAGGAGCAGGTGCTACAGTAACTGTATCTATTATTAAAGAAGCTGTGAGAGCGCCCCCTGCAGGCTGACCTCATTAACCTGTTGGCTAATCTTAGCTCCTCCTCGCAAACACTGAGGACTAACTAACTAACTAACTAACTCTAACTTATTCAGTGGTTTAAAGTGGTTTGATCAACAAACAACATACATTGATTCAAAGATCGATGAGTTTATTGATCATCTGAAGACACAATATTGATGATAATTGATCACCTATACAAGCAGTCTCAGCTACAAATGAAGTGAATAATCCCAGGTTCAGTTTGAAGTCTGTAGTTTGTGTGTGTGGCCTGCAGGGGGTGCTGGCCTGAGTCCAGCCTGACAGGCACACAGCTCCACCACAGCACAGCCAAAGTACTGCGTTCAAGAAGGTACTGAAGTACAAGTACAGAGATAATATCAGTAAAAAGAACTTAAAGTTTTAATCTGATCAAAGATCTGAACTCTGACTTTCAATAAAGATATTGATCTACTCTGTTTATTTACAGAAGAAAAATCAGTTTGTTAAAGAATAAAACGTAAAACTAGAAAATAAACTTTTAAACATTTTTATATGTCAAAGAAATATTTGTTTTGTTAATCTTCATCAACACGTCACCATGTTTCATCACCATCATCATCATCACTGTTTTTATTTGAGCAGATTAGTTGACAATAAATTTGTATTTATATTTACATTTATATAAAAATTCTATAAAAATCTAAAGTTTAAAACATTTAATGATCAATTATTTTCATTATCCAATAATGTGTCCACATCGAGTCACAGGAAACAACAGACCTGGAGCTAAACCAGGGAAGTTTAAAAATGAATATTAATCATTGATTAAATCTGTTGACAATTGATTTTTATTGATTCCGTGGCAGCTGACTTATTGATTAATTGACTGATTAACAGTTTCAGGACTAATGGATTTAAAGCAGCTTCAAATAGATTCCATATGTAAAGGAATTCATGTTTTCTGAAAAGTATTATTTATTTATTATTATCTATTATGACTGTGAAAATGAAACATTTCTATGGATGTGTGTCAGTTCCTGTGTTTCCCTTCTGGGGGCAGCAGAGGTAAATACACACTGAGTAACACTGATCTGTCCCTATGGCAACAGAGAGGGGACGGGGCTTCAAGCTAGCCACATGACTGGACGTAGCTTTGTGGGAAGAAGCCCTGGTTTCCGTTGAGGAATCCTTCACACCAGCCATCGTCATGGCGACGCATCAGGTAGATGATGTCACCCTCGGTGAGGGACAGGTCATCGGGTTTCGTGGCCTCGTAGCTGTAAAGCGCCACCACTGGACACACAGGAGAAGTGCAGTTAGAGGACACGTACAAACAGCCTGCAGTATTGACGTCAGCCACAAGGTGGAGCTCTGCTGTGTGACTGTCGTCGTCATAGTGATGTCGTCACCCAAAGAGCATCAAGATCCAATCTCTCTTTAGTGTAGTAAACCTGTAGTCCTGGTGTATATGTCTGTAAGATCTATAAATCTGTATCTGTAGATCTATATCTGTACATAGATATCTGTAGATCTATTACTGTGGATCTATTTCTGTAGATCTATATCTATAGAACTATATCCGTAAATCTTTTTATGTCAGAACTATTTCTGTAGATCTACATCTATAGATCTATATCTGTAGATCTATTTATGTCAGATCTATATCTGTTAATCTATATCTGTAGATATATTACTGTAGATCTATATCTGTATGATCTATATCTGTAGATCTATAGTAGTACCTTTCTCGAGGTAGTTCGGGGGGGCGCTAATGTCATAGTCCACTGGTGGAGGGAGGGGCGGTATGATGTCATCAAGGCCACCCTCATCGTCCAATAAGAGAGGGGGGGGTGGGGCTGGGATCTCCAGATCTAAGAGAACAGCACACAGGTCCTGTGAGTGACAGCTGTGATCGACCAATCAGGTTTGAAGAGGCAGAGCTATGACAGGAAACAGCAGAGCTGCTACTCTCATGTGTAGTACTACTGCTTTAATACTCTGATAGTATGAGACTGTCATGCAGTACTACAAGTACTCCTCCATGAGTATATACTAGTTGTACTACTTCTACGACTAGTACTACTAGTATTCAATAACTAACTAACCAGCCACAGTATTTGTTTCTTACCCAGGTGTTCGAGGCGAGCAGGTAAGCAGAGCCGAGGTGAGGAGCGGGGGAGCAGGGTGAAGGAGGAGGAGGGGGGAGGGTGAGGAGGAGCAGTAGATGAGGGGGGGGGTAGGGGGGAGGAGGGGGGATCATCACTGACGGACAGACAGAGAGAAGCTGAGTCAGGACATCAGAGTGAGCATCTGTCTGCAGAGACAATCTCTGATCCTCACACTGTAAAAGGCCTGCTGGTCCTGGGACCTAATCAAGGACCTTAGACATTTTTCAAGCACTATAAGAACTTCTATCACTCACTCAAGAACCCCTCCATGTTTCTCAAGGACTCTTGCAATCTCCTCAAAGCCCTTGAATTTCCTTAAATCCTTGAGTCGTTCTTCTGAACCTACTCACAGTCCTTGAACTCAGAGAAAACAGAACCTACAGAACCTGCCTGGAATTTTCTCAATAATCCTTGAAGCCTTCTTGAGGACCCTTTAAACATTATTAAGGCTCATATAAATTTTCTTGGTGTCCTCAAGGACCCCTCCCCCTTCATCCTTATTATTCTTGGAACCTACTGAAGGACTTTAGAACTTCCTCCAGGGCTCCTGGAACCTGCTGAAGAACTCTTTATACATTTTCAAGCACCCCTGAAAGTTTCTCAATGACTCAAGAAACCTTCTTAAGGACTTCTCAAACCTAAACTAAAATCTGCTGATCGACTCCTGGAACTTACTCAAGGATCATGGCTACTTGTTATTGTTGTTATTTGCTAACTATTCCAAGGACCTTAAAACTTACTTACTGGAATTTCCTGAAGAACTGAGATTACCTCTAGAACCTCCTCAGCTGTCCCTCGCACTTACTCAAAAATTCCTCAAAACCTCTTGAGAGCCCCTAGAACTTTCTCACAGACTCCTGGAACCTGCTTTCTTTCTCTACCAGGAACAAATAAACTGGTCAACATCTTATTGATTATATATAGCATGACTTTCATTTCTCCTGAGTTTCTATTGGACGACACCGGTGTCCTCCGTCGGCTTACGTGATTGAACAGCAGGCAGGAAGAGAGAGCGCGTGTAGCGGCAGCGGGAGGCAGGGCCTGAGCGGACCCTCAGAGAGAGAGAGCGAGTGGTGGGTGGTGAGCGACGGTGGCGACTCCTCCTGGAGGGGAGGGCCACTAAAGAAAAACACCAGAGAAGAAGAAGTACAAACATTTTCACGTTGTTCGGGAACGTTCGGTGAATCACCAGAGCCTTAAATTAAGGCTTTGGAACTTTGGAACGTGCTGCTCCTGATTTCTTTTTGAGATTACCAGGACTTACTCAATGTCTCCTTACTAAAAATAATAATAACCTTTATTAAAAGGGTTTGAATTAAGCAGAAAGTGAGTCATTTGTTGATAACTGACCATGTGCAGTTATGTTCATGTGAGGCTTCATTATAAATCCTTTACTTGAGATTGATGGCGTTCACTGAACTCTGTAACAAATAGTCTTTAACTGTCTCTGTGTATTTCTGTTCATGTGTGACGCAGATTTAAAGACCAAGAAATATAACTTGAGTTCTGAACACTTTCTGTTCCTGTCAGGGAACTCCATGACTCCTGGAACCTTTTCAAGGCTCCTGGAAAACTGATTTAAAGGTTTAAACTTCTATAAAATGTGAACTGTCACTTTTCTGTTTTAGTTTATGACTTTGTTCATGAGCAGAACAGATAGACAGGTACAGACAGACAGACAGACAGACAGATACAGACAGACAGAAAGACAGATAGGCAGGTACAGACAAACAAACAGGTACAGACAGACAGACAGATGACAGGTACAGACAGACAGACAGACAGGTACAGACAAACAAACAGGTACAGACAGACAGAAAGACAGACAGACAGACAGGTACAGACAAACAAACAGGTACAGACAGACAGACAGACGACAGGTACAGACAGACAGATACAGACAGACAGACAGGTACAGACAGACGACAGGTACAGGCAGACAGGTACAGACAGACAGACAGACGACAGGTACAGACAGACAGAAAGACAGACAGACAGACGGCCAGTACAGACAGACAGAAAGACAGACAGACAGGTACAGACAGACTGAGAGACAATCAGACAGACAGGTACAGACAGGTACCGTCAACTTCCTGGCTGGGTGGAGGTGGAGGAGGCGGGGCTGGCAGTTCTGAGCCATCATTGGACAGTGGAAGGAACATGTCGTCATCAGAGGGAGGAGGGAGAGGGGGAGGGGAGGGAGGGGGGAAGCAGTTCTCCTCCACCACTGAGGAGACAGAGGAGAGGTGATGTGATTGTGATGTCACTCATCAGGACCAGTGATTGGTTTACATAGAGATATGAAGGATTTAACTGTTCCAGGTGTAACTAATACAGGTTTAAATAACCAGGGGTTAATTAACTAAAGTTTGTCTAATCCAGGTTTCACTAGTCTAAATATAACTAATCCTGATTGATCTAACCAATAGTTATCTAAACCAGGTTTAACCAATTCAGAGGCCTGTACTTTGAAGCAAATTCAACACACCCAGGATAACTTTTAGTAATCTGGCTTGACTGAACCTAACTTCAACCATCCTGATAACCTGTACTGCGAAGCTGCTTATCAACGGGCTCAGTTAACCCTGGGTTTACCTGTCCGGTTACGACCACGTTCATGTGAAAGAGGCGGAGTTATTCATTATAAGCAACATCGTTGTTTCGGTTATAACCACGTCCACAAGTGATATTCAATGATGTGAAATGTAAATATGATCACATGACTGGAATAAAAAATATTATATCCATGTCTACATATAATTTCTGTTAAAGTCAGACTAATGATATATTGTAAATAAATGCATGAATTATCATGACATTTGAGTATTTTTGCTCTTTTGTCTGATGATGAACAAACTGTTCAAACTGTGATTTTTTTTAAAACCAGAGTGACACATGGAAAGACCCAAACAGGAAAACTATTCCACTAATTTATATTTTATATCTACTGCTCGTTATTATTGATCACTTTATCGTAAACTCTTTTGTCCCTATCAGGATCCTGTAGGAATGATGACTCAGTTTTTCCAGTCATCTTATTGGTCAGTAGTTTGGCTGTTGACAGATTTTGATCTGATCCTCTTAAGTGAACCTGCGCCAGGTTAGGAGGTCAGCGTTGAAATGGTGATTTACCCCAGTAACAAGTGAACCACCGTCGTAGGAGTAAAAACTCAGAGTTAAAACTGAAGTTACTGGATGGATGGAGGGATGGATGCTTTATTTATTCCCTAGCAGAAATTCATGATGACCTCAAATCCTGCTCCGTAGTACAAGCCTCAGGTTTAGCTAATTTAAATTTAACTAATCCAGGTTTATTTAATCCAGGTTACCTAATCATGATTTAATGTTTTTTTATTAGTTACTCATAAACAAACTGTTTTTGTTTTGTCCTCACCTGTCTCAAGGCTGAGGGGCGGGGCTGCTGGCGGAGCATTATGATTGGTCAGGGCCTCTGACAGAGGGGGAGGAGGGGGAGGGGGAGGTGGGGGCGAGGGGGTAACAGCCCCTGACAAATTGGGTGGAGGAGGTGGAGGGGGCGGGGCAGATGTGTTGATGACCTCATTTTCCCAAGCCAACATTTCATTTGCTGCAGGAGGAGTCGGGGCGTCGTCCAGCAGAGTGGTAATGATGTCACACTCAGGTGGAGCCTGCAAGGTGGTGGGAATGGTGGGCGGAGCTACAGGTTTCCCAAAACTGGAGCTGAGAGAAACAACAGCAAAAATACAATTCAGATCACAGATCAATACAATCAATACACATATAGATCAATACAATACTGATAGTATATATAGGTAGTTAGCCACGACAGGTGTTTCCTTATTCACCTCAGTCACATTCTGAGTTCGTCTCTGTGGTGAATTCAGCTTGTCTGACCTTTGACTTGAATCAGCAGCTAATGAACCAACACTGAGCATGTGCTAAAATGTTTCATCTTTCTGCTTCTTTGGTGGAGTTTTTATTTTTAATGAGCAGCTCAGACACTGAAATCGTCTGGTTTTTAAATGAGGTTTGTTCCAGAACCAGAATTTTCTGTTTGAAAATGTCATTGTTTACTTTGCAGGGAAACAGAGGAATGGAACATAATCTTCTGAATCTTTTTTAAATGATTTATTTATTTATTTTCTAATTTGTTTTCTCCCTTTGTTCATCTGATCCAGCGGAGCGACGTGTTTGATTAAGTTCAAATATCATCCATCACGGATAAGGGAAAACTGACAATGACTGGTCCAGAAAGAGAAGTGAAAACTGTCTGATGACTGTCAGACTGTATGGTGAACAAGAGTTTTTGCTTTGGGTTGTTTAATGTTTATGTCCATGTTAAGTGTATGTTTATATTTAGTGTATATTTAGTTTTTTTAGTTTATGTCTGTGTTTAGTTTATGTTTAGTTTGTTTATTTTTAGTTTATGTCTGTGTTTAGTTTGTTTATGTTTAGTTTATGTTTATGTTTAGTTTGTTTATTTTCAGTTTATGTTTAGTTTATATCTGTGTTTAGTTTATGTTTAGTTTGTTTATGTTTAGTTTGTTTATTTCTAGTTTATGTCTGTGTTTAGTTTATGTTTAGTTTGTTTATTTCTAGTTTGTGTTTAGTTTATATCTGTGTTTAGGTTATGTTTAGTTAATGTTTATGTTTAGTTTATGTCTGTGTTTAGTTTATGTTTAGTTTATATCTGTGTTTAGTTTATGTTTAGTTTGTTTATTTCTAGTTTATGTCTGTGTTTAGTTTATGTTTATGTTCAGTTTATGTTTAGTTTATATCTGTGTTTAGTTTATGTTTAGTTTGTTTATGTTTAGTTTATGTTTAGTTTATTTATGTGTTTAGTTTATGTTTATGTTCAGTTTATGTTTAGTTTATGTCTGTGTTTAGTTTATGTTTAGTTTGTTTATGTTTAATTTATGTTTAGTTTATGTCTGTGTTTAGTTTATGTTTAGTTTATGTTTAGGTTGTTTATGTTTAGTTTATGTTTAGTTTATGTTTAGTTTATGTTTATGTTTAGTTTATGTCTGTGTTTAGTTTATGTTTAGTTTATGTTTAGTTTGTTTATGTTTAGTTTATGTTTAGTTTATGTTTATGTTTAGTTTATGTCTGTGTTTAGTTTATGTTTAGTTTATGTTGTTTATGTTTAGTTTATGTCTGTGTTTAGTTTATGTTTAGTTTATGTTTAGGTTGTTTATGTTTAGTTTATGTTTAGTTTATGTTTAGTTTATGTTTATGTTTAGTTTATGTCTGTGTTTATGTTTACCCCTGTGCAGACTGATTGGTCCTGCTGTCTGTCTGTGTCACGTTTATTTTACCAATGAAAAAACAGAAAACTGACTGACTGTCCTCAATCAGGTCCTCACAAAGACACACAAACTATGTTACCTGCTGCCAGGGGGCGCCACCGGGCACTGGACCGGCTCTGGAGGTTTGTTTGACCTGAAACACACACACACACACACACACACACACACACACACACACACACACACACACAGACTTCCTGTTAGAGAGTGTGGTGTGAAAGGAGAAGCTGTCATTAACACACACAGTAGAATCAAACTGAACCTGATGGAGGCTCCATGTTTACGGATCGTTCCTGTTCTGTCCGACTGTTTCCCAGAGACCTATGGGGGGGGGGGGGGGGGGGGTAACAGAGTGAGCATCAATAGAGCCTCTCAGCCTCTCAGCTCTAATTAGTCTCTTTACACAGTTTCCCACGCTCAACAAAGACTGTCTGTGTGTCTGTGTGTGAGTGTGTGTGTGTGTGTCTGTGTATGTGTATGTGTATGTGTGTTTGTGTGTGTGTGTGTGTGTGTGTGTCTGTGTGTGTGTGTGTGTTAAAAGTATCTTCACATTGTGCTGTTGGGGCTTTCACTTCAGTGAAGGATTTGAATCCTGAACAATAGAATACACTAGAACAAGTAGAACAGACTTTACTCCCTGTGGAACATTTCACTCACAAACACAAGAACTCGGTCACATCAATGTTGTGAAGCAGCTGAAGTCGAAGTTGAAGTGAAGTCCTGAGACGGATTAACTCCAGAACATTCACTTTGAGGAGCTTCAGACTGCAGGACGTCAGTTTGTTTTAGTTCACACAGTTCAGGGTCTGGAGTGGTACAGTGGTACAGTGGTACAGTTGTATAGTGTACAGTGGTACAGTGGTACAGCGTACAGTGGTACAGTGGACAGTGTACAGTGGTACAATGTACAGCGGTACAGTGTACAGTGGTACGGTGGACAGTGTACAGTGGAACAGTGTACAGTGGTACACTGTACAGCAGTACAGCGTATAATGGTGCAGTGGTACAGCGTACAGTGGTACAGCGTATAATGGTACAGTGGTACAGCGTACAGTGGTACAGCGTACAGAGTAGGAGTGGCCAGTGTACAGTGGTACAGTGTACAGTGGTACAGTAGTACAGTGGTATAGTGTACAGTGTACAGTGGTACAATGTACAGTGGTACAGTGGTACACTGTACAGCAGTACAGCGTATAATGGTACAGTGGTACAGCGTACAGTGGTATAGTGTACAGTGGTACAGTGGTACAGTGTACAGTGGTACAGTGTACAGTGGTACAGTGGTACAGTGTACAGTGGTACAGTGTACAGTGGTAGAGTGGTACAGTGGTACAGTGTACAGTGGTACAGTGTACAGTGGTACAGTGGTACAGTGGTACAGTGGTACAATGTACAGTGGTACAGTGGTATAGTGTACAGTGGTATAGTGGCACAGTTCAGAGCTGTACTGAACTGTGCCACTGTACACTGTACCACTGTACATTATACCACTGTACCACTGTACATTATACCACTGTACCACTGTCCACCGTACCACTGTACCACTGTACCACTGTACACTGTACCACTGTACATTATACCACTGTACCACTGTACTACTGTACCACTGTACTACTGTACCACTGTACCACTGTACTACTGTACCACTGTACCACTGTACCACTGTACCACTGTACCACTGCTGATCTGCAGGTCTGAGACTGAGGAGGAAATAAATCCTTCCACTCAGTGAGTGTTCAGACAATAAAGTGAGATGAGGAACTTTTACAGAGAGTCACTTCTGCTTCTGTGGTTCACTGCAGTCGCCGACACTTCCTGTCAGCATCACCTCCACTTCCTGTCAGCATCGCCTCAGACTCACAACAGAACTGCACTTCTGTTTTTGGTCTTCAGTCGGACGCTCTCTGAGTCTCTGCTGAACCATCACTGATACAACAGTTCAGAGGGTCAACCCCCCCGGGTGGCATTAGTACGGCAGTGTTCCCTACATTCACTAGATTATGAGTGCCATCATTAATGGGCGACTAATGATTTTCACTGGCACACTGTGTTAGCACAACACCCAACGTTATCTAGAGCATCAAATCCTCCTTGACCCTCTCCTCATTCTTCACAGGACGCACAAGCTAATGTTAGCATAGCGTAGCTCCTGTAGGGATCAGGGCAGTGTGTAACAGGCGAGCGGCAAAAAGTGATGGTGAAGGGGAGGGAAAAGTTAACAGGAAGTTGTCAGTGTGACAGTAGATGTACGGAGTGTCACTTCATAAACGCTGCAGCTGCTCAACATCAAGAAGAGTTGTACGTTGTTTCACCAACTAGCAAACATCTCCCCAAGAGAGGCTAACGCTAACAGGAGGTTTGTTGGCTGCTATGTAACGTTAGCTACATTCACAGGAAGTCCCATGAATCAGCTGCTTGTTGTTACTACCTGTGTGTGTTAGTGATCACAGCAGAGCCTGTGACGGGCTAGCTGACTTAGCTGCAGTGATGCAGCGACATGACTAACTCCAGACAGCTCAACTCTAATCTGTCCTGTTCACACACATCTTGGTAAATTATATTTCAGTTTTCAGATGAGTGTGTTGAACCGGTTGGTTAATAAGAGAACAGAGGAGCTGCGGTTAGTAAAGCTAGTTAGGGATGCTATATCCCCTGGATATGTGAAGATATACGTTTATAACATATATGAAATAAATTTGTAAATGTATATATATTCAAATATTGATGAAGAATTTTTATATTGTAAAACATGTTGGGAGCATACGTTAACAATATATATTCAATATATATATGTATGTTTATTAAAACAACATATTATAAACATGTTATATGTTTTTTTCTATATGTTATTCTCATGAATTTTAAACATGTCTCTTCACATTCAGGGACAGTGTCTCAGACTGTTTATCAACATATACTGACTGGATATACATTTATTACATCTGTCTACAACAAAAACATACATATTCATATGTGA